GGAGGTGGGGTGACCATACGGGAAGCATGACTCATCAAACACAACATGGCGAGAGATAATAAGTTTGTTAGTGGAGAGATCAAGGCAACGAAAACCTCGTTGGTTGGAGGGGTAGCCAAGGAAAATGCAGCGGGCTGAGCGTGGGGCGAGTTTGTGAGGAGCGGTGGCGAAAATATTGGGGTAACACAGACAACCAAAGACGCGGAGGTGAGAGTAGGAGCGGGGGAGTTGTAAAGTGTGGTGTGGGGGGTGCGATTATTGAGTGTGGTGGTGGGAAGGATATTAAAAATGTGGGCTGTCATGTGAAGGGCCTCGACCCAGAATGTGGGAGGTAGTTGGGCTTGGAATAGAAGAGAGCGGACGGTGTTGTTTATGGTGCGTATGGTGCGTTCAGCCCGCCCGTTTTGCTGGCTTGTGTGAGGGCACGAAAAACGAAAGAGAATGCCTAAAGAATCAAAAATATTTTTGAGAGGAGAATTTCGATATTCTGTTCCATTGTCACATTGCACAGCTTTGATGGTTGTGTTAAAGTTATTTTTTACATATGCAACAAAGGAGTTTAAATGCCTGAAGGCATCACTTTTGTGTTTTAAATGAAAAACCCATAAATAATGAGAAAAATCATCCAATAACAGCATGTAAAATTTAAAACCAGTAATGCTTGGAACAGGAGATTGCCATAAGTCTGTATGTAAAAGTTGAAATGGAAACATTGAAACACGACTAGAAGAATAAAATGGGAGGCGCACATGCTTTCCCAATTGACATGCATGACATAAAGAATGTGTATAATTTTTAAAAAACGGAAGAGAGGATACGCCACGGAGAACAGCTTGGCTGGGGTGGCCTAGACGCCGATGCCAGGTCTGAAGATCGACAACGGCGACATTGGCTTGGGCAGGTGCTGTTCGGCCAAGAGGGTAGAGAAGTCCCATATCATTGGATCGATGCATCACGGTTTCCGTCCGACGATCCTTCACAGAAAAACCATTAGCATCAAATTCAACAGTACAGTTATTATCACGGGTAAGTTGGCGAACAGAGATGAGATTATGGGTGATGTGAGGGGAGACAAGGATGTTTTTAAGGGATAGGGCAGGGGTAGTGGGGAAGGTGTGGCTACCAACAGCCGTAGTGCTGACTTTAGATCCATTACCAACAGTGATATATAATGGTGAATATAGAGTTTGAGAAGAGACATGAGAAAGAGTACCTGGATCAGAGGCGATGTGGTGGGAGGCACCGGTATCCATGTACCATGTAGGCTCACGTAGAGATAGGGTGTCAAAGTGATGGGCGAGAGCGGTTGGGGTGAGTGTTTGGGCTTGCGGGTAGGGTGGAGGGGTGGGGTACTGTCCT